CCTACAATTGTGGGCCATCATTGTATAGTCCTTCTTGGGGCTTGTCCACAACTTGCATTGTTTGTATGCCTCTTTTTTCTTTCTTAAGAGGACCGTGATTTCCCTGTTCAGCCAAGAGGGCTTCCCAACCCTTCTGCTACCTTTTCTCCACATGGGAATGGACTTTCTTTGTGCTTCAAGGATAGTGTCCTTAAGGAACAGCCACTCTTCATGCACCCTTTCATCTTTGGTTCCTAGTCCCACAGCACTTCCCCTACTAGTGACCTGAACTTGTTGAAATTTACATTTTTTGAAGTCCAAGACTTCAACCCTGCTATCAGATTTGTCTGCCTTGTGATGGACAGTGAACATGATGGTTTCATGGTTGCTGTCACCCAGACTACCCTCTATATTTAAATTTAGGTCATCTCCTTTGGCCAGGACCAAGTCTAGGAGAGCATTACCTCTGGTTGGCCTGTGCACCTCCTGAGCCAGGAAGAGCTGTTCAATGCAGGTCAGGAAGGAACACAACCAGTCCAACTTGGCCAAGTGCTCCTCCAGAGAGAAGTCTGGATAATTGAAGCAGCCCTGATGATCTTGTCCCATGCATACATGGCCTCTGTCAGTTCTTGGGTGAACTCTAAGAGCGAGTTCCTCCCCCGGTTTGGTGGCCTGTAGTAAACACCTACAGTTAGGTCTCTCTCTGGGCCCCTGCCCTCCCACCCTGCAACTTGACCCAAAGCATTTCAAACCATTTTTCTTTGGAGCCTATGTTGGCCTCCAAGAATGTGTACTGCTCCTTCACATAGAAAGCTACACCTCCACCTTTCTTCCCTACCCAGTCACTTCTATGCAGGGCATAGCCCTCTATGGCTCCAATCATGTGAGGAGTCCCACCAGGTCTCCATAATCCCTACTAGGTCATAATGCCCACCGGAGAGCAGGACGGCTAGATCCTCCTACTTGTTCCCTATACACCTGGCATTAGTGTACAGGCATCTGAGTCCTCCTATTGAGACCCTTGGCTTTCTGTCATGCTAAGGGAGAACTATTCCAAGTTCCAATTAGTGTTTCCCTATCCCCCAGCAATCTTAGGTTAAAGCCCTATCTAGAAGATCAGCCATTCTGGCTAAGAATGGGGACATACGTCTCCACGTGAGGTGGATGCCATCCCTTCCCAGGAGTCCTCTGTCCCTGAAGTGTGCACTGTGGTTGAGGAAGCTGAAGCCTTCTCAGTGACAACACCATCATAGTTTCATAGTTAGTAGGGTTGGAAGGGTCAGCTCTGTGAGCTGACTTAAGAATTCCTGGTCTAGCTCTTCTCCTTGGTTGGATGGTCTGTAGTAGACCCCCACCATTAAGTCTCTTTCCCCTCGACTTCCTTGTATTCTAACCCAGAGCGCTTCAGTGTGCGCCTTCTCTAACTGTGCTACTTGATGAGGATGTGTATTCCTCCTTAATGTAGGGTGCCACACCGCCACCTTTCCTCCCTGTCCTGTCCCTCCTGTGCAGCCTATAGCCGTTGATATTCACTGCCCAGTCATGTGTTGGGTCCCACCACGTTTCAGTGAGCCCCACTATGTCTGGGTTGGTGTTGGCTAGCAGGAGGGTAAGTTCCTCCTGCTTGTTACCTATACTATGAGCGTTTGTGTAGAGGCATTTGAGGCCCCCTGAGAATGTTAGCACTGGCCCCCTATTCTCACCATTGCCCTCGCCCCTGTTGCTTACCTGTGTATATGTTCTGCTCGTCAGTCTAGGCTGGGCTGTACCTGTGGGTGCTGCTTGGTTTAGCGGTCCAAGGCTTCCTCCGCCCTCATCTTCCCCTTCCCCTGACAAGCCTAATTTAAAGCCCGCCGGAGGAGATCAGAGTCATCAGTTATCTTCCTCGATGCACCCTTCCCTCCTAGGACCATGACCTGCAACTGGGAGCACATAGAAAATGATTACCTGGGCCCCTGACCCCTTGAGCCCAGCCCCCAGAGCCCTGTAGTCACTCATGATCCAGTCTGGGTTACTCCTGGCCATGTCATTTGTTCTCACATGGATAAAGAGCATGGGGTAGTAGTCAGAAGGCCAGATTAGCCTGGGAATTAGGGCTGTTAAGAACAGCTATGTTTCAGTTTGGTTTCGAATTCAGCTGTTTTGGAGGGACAATGATTCATTTTGGTGTTTCAGATCAGTGTTCCATTTTGATTCAGCTGAATCTGTTTCGGAGTTTTGACACTGTTTCAGTGATTCAGCCATAGCTATAATGGGGAATGCCTAAACTAAAATGCCTATAACTTTGTCATTTCTTTCCCAATTTAGATTAAAATGGCAGGGATGGTAGCACCATCTGAGGGCATGAAGCCTCCTAGTTTCAAGGAGATAGGTGTATGGGTTTCTGTAAAACTGCATCTCAAACTATTCAAAGTGAAATTCATGTCACCGGCTGGCAGCGGCAGCATGCTGTCATCCCACATGCAGATCCGGGGTCCCGCACCCCCTGGGAGGGCTGTGGGACTGCCAGAATCCTCCTGGGGGTACAGGTCCCCAAATCTGTGCATGGAATTACAGCATGCTGCCGCTTCCAGCTGGGACCAGCGCTTCGCCCCACTGCCGGATGAGGCAAGTGCCAGCACTGGGTTCTTTCTCACACTCAGCGTGGGCTGCATCAGGCAGACTCAGGTGCTGGCACTGGCCCCAGCTAGCAGCAGCAGCCTGCTGTCATCCTATGTGCAGATCCGCATCCCTTCCCCCTCCCTCTTCTTAGTTTCTGTTTCCCTGCAAGCCCAGCTCTGAAACTCCAACATTTTCCGAAACATTTTAGATGGTTTCATTTCATTTCAGAGACATTTCAGACCCTTCTGTTTCATTTTGGATTCAATGTTTCAGGCACCAAAACAGGCCAAAACACCTCCAAAATGAAATGGCTGCCAAAGTTTCACAGAGCCCTACTGGGGATCCTCTCCACAACATCTCGGGTACAGGCCCCAAGGAGGAAGCAGACCTCATGGGCTAGGGGATCCAGATGGCAGAGAGAACCCTTAGTGACCCGCAGGAGGGAGTCCTCCACAACCACCACCTTGCACCTCCTCTTGGGGATGGCAGCATGCTGCTTACCTTCCTCCTCGGGTGTCACCATTGGAGCCTCCTCATGTTTGGAAAGGGGAGCACACCTGTTGTACAGAGCCAGGGGAAGAGCAACCCTGGTCCTACATTTCTTGGAGGCTGAGGTGACCTTGGTCCAGGTAGCTCTGGGCAGGTCTTGGTTAGCCTTCTTGTTGGCCTTCTCATTCAGTAAACTAAATCACAGAAAGGAAGCTTATAAAAAGTGGAAACTTGGACAAATAACTAGGGAAGGATTGCTCAAGCATGCAGGGATAAAGTCAGGAAGGCCAAAGTGCAATTGGAGCTGCATCTAACAATGGATGTGAAGGGTAACAAGAAGAGGTTCTACAAGTATGTCAGTAGCAAGGGGAGGATCAGGGAAATTGTGGGTCCCTTACTGGATGGGGGAGGCAACCTTGTGACAAAGGAAAAGAAAAGGCTGAAGTACTCAATGCCTTTTTTGCCTTTACCTTCACAGGTAAGGTCACCTCCTAGACAACTGCATTGAGCAGCACAGTTTGGAGAGGAGATAAGCAGCCCTCAGTGCTGAAAGAACAGGTTAGGGTCTACTTAGAAAAGCTGGACATGTACAAATCCATGGGACCAGATAGAATGCACCCAAGGGTGCTGAAGTAGAAGGAGGATCCAGAGACCTACAGACCAGTCAGCCTTGCCTCAGTCCCTGAAAAAATCATGGATCAAATCCTCAAGGAATCCATTTCTAAGCACTTGGAGGAGAAAAAAGGTGATTATGAACAGTCAGCATGGATTCACCAGGGGCAAGTCATGCATGACCAACCTGATTGCCTTCTATGATTACGTGACTGGCTCTGTGGATATGGGGAGACTGGTGGATGTGGTGTACCTTGATTTTAGGAAGGCTTTTGATAGTCTCCCGCAGCATTCTCTCAGGCAAGCATGGAAGTCTGGGCTGAATGAATGAACTGTAAGATGGATAGAAAACTGGCTGGAGCATTGGGCTTAAAGAGTAGTAATCAATGGCTCAATGTCTAGTTGGCAGCCAGTATCAAGTGGAGTGCCCCAGGGGTCAGTCCTGGGCCTGGTTTTGTTCAATGTCTTCATCAACAACCTGGAAGATGGCATAGAGTGCACGTTCAGCAAGTTTGAAGATGACACCAACCGGGGGGGAGTAGTAGATATGCTGGAGTGGAGAGCTCAGATTCAGAGTGACCTAGACAGATTGGAGAATTGGGCCAAAAGGAATCTCATGAGGTTCAACAAGTACAAGTACAAAGTCCTGCACTTACGATGGAACAACCCCATGCACAAGTACAGCCTGGGGGCTGACTGGCTGGGCAGCACCTCTGCAGAAGAGGACCGGACCTAGGGGTTACAGTGGACAACAAGCTGAATATGAGCCAACAGTGTGCCCTTGTTCCCAAGAAGGCTAATGGCATACTAGACTACATTAGTAGGAGCATTGCCAGAAGATTGAGGGAAATGATTATTCCCCTCTGGTCAGCACTGGTGAGGCCACATCTGGAGTACTGTGTTCACTTTTGGACCCCCCACTACAGGAAGGATGTGGACAAATTGGAGAGAGTCCAGTGGAAGGCAACAAAAATGGCAAGGGGACTGGAGGACATGACTTATGAGGAAAGACTGAGGGAACTGGGTTTATTTAGTCTAAAGAATAGAAGACTGGGGGGCAATTTAATAGCAGCCTTCAACTACCTGAAGGAGGGTTGGAAGAGGATGGAGCTAGACTGTTCTCTGTGGTGGCCGATGACAGAACAAGGAGCAATGGTCTCAAGTTGCAGCAAGGGAAGTTTAGGTTAGATATCAGGAATAATTTTCTCACTAGGAGGGCAATAAAACACTGGAACAAGTTACCAGAGAGGTAGTAGAAGCTCCATCCTTGGATGTTTTCAAAACCTGGCTAGACAAAACTTTGGCTGGGATGATCTAGTTGGGCATGGTCCTGCTTTGACCAGGGGGTTGCACTAGATTAGTTTCTCAACCTGTAGGTCACAACCCAAAAGCGGGTTGCAAGAATATATGAAAGGGTGGTGAACAAACTTTAAAAATGGATTCTCTTGTAAAAGAAGAAAAACATAGGAAACAGTGGGTTTTCCTTGCAGCCTGGCAGAATTCCAACCTGCAAGGGTCTGCTTGCCCCCCGCCCCCATACCCTACACACCCATCCCATGCCCCGCACACTGGGGAGCTGGGGCCTGGGGGCAGTGGGTCAGGAGTTCATAGTTTCATAGTTTCTAGGGTCGGAAGGGACCTGAGTAGATCATCTAGTCCGACCTCCTGCCATGGCAGGAAATAGTACTGGGGTCAAACGACCCCAGCAAGGTGTTCATCTAACCTCCTCTTAAAAACCTCCAGGGTAGGAGCCTGCACCACTTCTCCTGGAAGTTGGTTCCAGACCCTAGCCACCCTGACTGTGAAGTAGCGCCTCCTGATATCTAGCCTAAACCTACCCTCTGCCAGCTTGTGACCATTATTCCTGGTCACTCCTGGCAGTGCTCGGGGGAACAGTGACTCCCCCAATGCCTGCTGATCCCCCCTGACTAGTTTATAACAGGTCACAAGATCCTCCCTCAGCCTTCTCTTTTGGAGGTTGAACAGGTTCAGGTCCCGTAGCCTCTCCTCATAGGGCCTGCCCTGCAGTCCCCTGATCATGCGAGTGGCCCTCCTCTGGACCCTCTATATGCTGTCCACATCCCTCTTGAAGTGTGGTGCCCAGAACTGGACGCAGTACTCCAACTGTGGTCTGACCAGTGCCGCATAGAGGGGGAGGATCAGTGAAAAGCACTGAGTCAGGACTGGCCATTGATGTTTTCAAATGCATCATGGTACAAAAAAGAGTTGAGAACCACTGCACTAGATGACCTCCTGAGGTCTCTTCCAACCCTAACTTTCTATGATTCTGTGAAATCAAGTCTACTGGAATTTTTGTTTGCTCCAGAATTTTCAAAATTACCCTGGAGTAAAGTATATAGCCAACACAATTATTTTTCACAGCTCCATCCAGTTTGATATGTAATATTATTTCATATTAATCTTGTAGTAGCATTGAACATCACTTCTTTTGGTGGTTTTATCTCCCCAGTTTCAGATCAGCAGAGTACCACTTTGTGTTTCACATTTTTGGAGAATCTAATAGTAATGAGGAAATTAAAGGTCAAACTCACTAATGGAACAAAACAAAGGACAGACAATAAGCAGGAAATTCCATGGTAGAACCTCCTAGCTCATCAGATCACATTTCTAAGTGCCAGCTCTGTTTCTCCCTCCAGCTGTACAATTGGCTAGTTATCTTGCTAAGAACTGATGGATCTTTACATCCTAAATGAATTTATTTTTCTTTTCTTTTTTTAGAGACATGCCACACCACTTTACCATAACACTTTGATCACGCCATTTTGCCTAATGTTATTGCTTGCAGTTCCTAACACAGTTAGAATTATTTTGCCTAATGTTGTTACTTGCAGTTCATAACATTGTTAGAATTGAGAAAGGAGAGAAAATACCACATATGTTTCTCTCACTTGATTACTTTGTCTACAGTCAGTTTAAAATGTTTCTTTCACCTGCTGATTGAGTTATTTTCCCTTATTTGTATGACTCTTTCACACAACAGATAGAATGGGAAACAAAGCAGAGGGAAAATATTAGGAGCTGAGATGATAAAACATAGTAGTAAGCAAAGGTCTCAGAGCAGGGGTAGTACCTCAAGCAACTTCTAATTCATTATCTGAAATTCACTGAACTTGATATGCCCTTTTAAAAAGGTAGCTGGGGAAGAATAACCAAACACCTGGGAAGCCTGAGAGCCAAGAATTGAGCAGCCTTGGGAGCTGGCTGTTGTGGCTAGGATGTGGGCGAAGCCAGGGAAATGGCCACCTAGGAAGCCAGGCAGTCTGGGAGTGAGATGTTCAGAGATCCTGGAGAGCTAGGCATGCAGGGACCTGGCTGTATGGCAGAATAGCGGATAGGGAATCAAAGAAATGGGGAGTCTGGGAACATCCCAGGCTGGGAGTGCAGAGATGCTTGGCAACTCCTGGACTTGTTTCCATTGAAAGTTTCAATGGAATAAACAAATTCCCATGGAACATTTTAGTTTCATCAGATCAACATCTTCCAACATTAAACCACTATGGCAAAAAATTTTTTTTTGACCAGCTTCATTGAAGAAGCATTCTGCTGCCTGCTGCAGGTACCTGCTGGTTGAGGCTGATTGTGTTGATTTTCCCTATTGATCAACTGCTTCATCCCAGTAACTAAAGAAATAGCACTACCAAAACGACCACACTGCAACAAAATCTGCAGTTCAGGACTTCAGGTCTGTTGGCCTTAAAGTTAAGGACCCTGTATATAAAGTGACAATGTACATGAGCAGATAACTTACAGAAACATTAGCACAAAAAGAAGTGTAACCAGGATCAAGTAGAAAAGATCCAGGTTTTAGAAAGATGCTACCGCAACATGACTGCCTTTTCTCCTTTCTAGAATATTAGGTCTGTGTAAAGACCTATTGTCCAGTTTGCTACAGAGCTGCAAAGATTGGGTTAAAATGAAAATCTTAGCCAACTTTTCACTTTGGCAAAACAATAAGAACATTTTCTGGCCAAAGTCCAGGGTTTTCATGCTTTCCTGAACCAAACAAGTGTACAATGTTAGCAAGTTTCACAGGGTGGGAAAACTTATTATTTTACTATACACAGTTTTGTAAATTGCAGATAATAGATCTATTAGTGACTCACATTTGTAACGCCAGATAGGCCTTGTTAAACTCAGAGTCACGAAGTATGACTGGTAGTGAGAGAAAGTGGTAAGCAGAAAGGATTTTGCAAAAGGTTCTTCTACATGCCAACCATTGTGAAGACATTTTCAGGCAGATATATTTTTCACATCTTTAGCCAAAAAAATCATTGGCTTTGGGTAGGCAGAATAAAGAAATATGCATAGCCCTAGCTTGGCAAAATAAGGCAAATTTTGCTCCAGGCCCATCTTTTTATTCACATTTTGACAAACATAAACACTGACTGAAGCAGCGGGCTCTGGCACTGATTTAAACATATGTATATTCTTAAAACCTAAACTTTTGACTCATATTTACATGGCAATTATGAAATCTTAGCCGTTAATGGTAAGAGTTGCCCAGAGCACTAGAACCTTGTCTGGTGTTGCTCGACTGACCAGTCCCATGTAGAAAGTCCCATCACACACTGTAGAGTGATAAATTATCCATGACTCAGCACCTTCATAATCAACTGCAAAAAATAATACATCTCAAGATATCCAGTTACCTTATTTTCATGGGCCTCCACCAGCCTTATATTTCTCAATCCAAACTTGTTTTCCAGCTCATCAATTTAATTTGTGGCCTGTCCATCAGTCATTAAGTCCAAGTTCATTTTTTCCCCCTCAGCTCCTTATGCTCTTGAGCTAAAACTTTTAAACTTTGTGTCCATTGCAACCAATGTAGCCTGGACTGCATCCAACCTTTTACTAACATCTGTCAAGTTCATATTTGTGGTGTGCAACTGAGTGGACTAGAAAATAAAGATAGATGGCAATGGATTAAATCTAACACTTCTTCATTACACTGCAGCCATTTTAGATTTCTCTACTCTGCTCATTGCAACTAGAGTTTCCACACCTTATCTTCCCAATAGTTCTGTCATGCAGCAGTTTAAAGACAACCCCCCTGCAATTTTATAATTTATTAATGCCTTTGTTACATATCCATGATTTCATAAGTCCAGAATTTGACTGATATTTTGTCTGTTTCCACTATCCACATAAATATATGTTTTATTTTAAACAAATACCTCAAAAATCATGCAAAGCACAACTGAAACATTTTTGTGCACAAAGAAACCAGTTCTACACAGAAAGATTTTATTTTTAAAATCCCAAAAAGATGTACTAATAATGTTCAGTTCTGCATCAGGTTCCAGCCAAGTTTCAAAGCTGTTTACAGAAATCAGCATTTTAAATCCCACAGAACTCCTGTGAGGTAGGTGCTATCCACAGCTTGCAGATAGAAACTGAAGGAGGGCAAGAGAAAAAAGGTAGAAGGAATTTCCAAGGAAGGAAATTCATGTTGCTCTTTGCTTCTTTCATATCACTGTTGCAACAACAGCTTGCTATTTTAAATTATTTTAATTCATAAGGATAGAGTCCCAATCTGCAGCCTTTTCTTACATCATCACTGCACCGTTGAATTGCTTATGTATTTCTTTGAAATAAGTCAGTCCTTCCTCAGTTACACTGTCAAACAACTGGGCTGTGTGATGAGGGGTGCCATGGAGATAAGGCCATTTCATGTCATAATCATGCTTATATCTGGTCCTCAGCCCTGCGTATGCAGTGCCATCCACTGGTGCTGTGTGAAGGAGAAAATGACTGGCAACCCATGGTTCAATAACAAAAGAAAAAAAAAGTTTTCACAAATAATTCATCTGAATGTTAAGCTGCTGGCCAGTTCTAGCCTGTTGGTGCCTTTTTTATAACCTGATTCAGCTAGATAAGCATGTCTAAACACATGAATAATCCAATTACTTCATGTACCTTGCTGATTATACACATGTACCCTTCTGAATCATGAACTTAGCCACTGTTCATTAACATTTGTGTGACAGGCTAGCTAGTAGTGACCTAGCCCAGGGGTTTTGAAAGGGCAAAAGATGATTGGAGGACTTGGGATTCCCTTTCCTCATCGATCAGGCCTCAGAGACTCACCCCCCATGTCCCCTGATTGGCCCCTTGGGTCACCTGGAGAGGGATAAAAGGGGCAGCATGGGCTGACTCAGGGGAGAGCAGTGAGGGACCACAAGGAAGGAGCTTCACAGAGCTGAGCCAGTGGGGCAGGAGCAGTGACCCAGAAGAGCCTGAAGGAGCAGGACCTGCAGGCAGCAGTGGGACCCTCAGCAGCGTGGCATGCAGCCAGCAGGAGAGGCTCGCTGCTGGGCTCTAGGATCCCTTGGGAGAGGCTGCAGCCAGCAGGAGAGTCTCCCCGTGCTCCAGCAAGGATCTGAGAAGTGACCTGAGAGGTTCCCAGCTCTGCTTCCAGCTCCTCCAATCAGAGGCCAGGTAGCTCAACGTGAGACCATGGCTCCAGAAAGGTCAAGACCCCTAGCAGCTTAGAGCAGTGTCACCAGTGGTGGCTGTGCAGTAGTCTTTCTGCCTGCCATGTGGGAGAGCTGAGTTCAAGTCCCAGCTGGGGTGTATTGAGGTGAGTGAGTGGAAAAGGGCTATTGTGTTTTCCCTTCCAGGTACCTAGGCCCTATATTCCCTTGTCATTTGACATTTTGTATTTTGTGCCTTTTTATATTTCACCAACCTGTATTGTTTGTTCTGCTGTTTGTGTTTTATATTTTGTTAACCCTGTCTTTTGTCAATGATTGTAAGTGTCTAACCTTTGTTGAATCCTGCCCCCTTGGGCATTGTAGCGTCTACTATACCCTCTGATTTATGCCTACATTCCCAGTATTGTTCCCTCATTAAAAGGTATATGGTTAAGTCCCCATTGGTGGTCTGGCTCTGCTCTATAGGGGGAGGAGAGTCCCTACACCTCCCACAGCGCTTGTGCACCTGCTTTGATCCCTTCAATTGGAGAGGGGGTACCTCTTGGAGTACCGCCCGGGTTACATTTGTACAAGCAGGTTCCTATTTCACTTTTCATTATTTGCTGGTTTCCCTGATTTAGAAATGTATCATCAGAGCAGGAACAGGAAGTATAACAATCCCATATGACTAAAGCCCACACATGGCAAGAAAATAGTTGAAGTGAAGAGTTCATGAATCCATCAGCTAAAATGTGATCACATTAAAATCACTCTGTTCACAAAAGATTCGCAAGCAGAAGAGAGCTAAAATAATTTGATAACTTATTCATAATCCATAATACAGCCTGCACAGACTTCCACTAGTTCTAAGCAGCAGCCATACCAGTTTTCCTGCATCTGGGACTTTACACACCATGGAGGTTGACAGCAAAATAAATCTGTTTAAAAGGTTACAGATCATGGTAGATTTTGTTACAAATATAGGTAAGAAAGTGAAGAGATTAGAGAAAGAAAATACAGCCTTTCACCCTGACAAATGCTGTTAATAGGGCACTGTGCTACAGAGGAGGTCTATTTACCATATGCACTGGTTTTTCCAATTTTCATTCATATGGTTAAATCAGGAAAAGGACACCCAGGCGAAATCCAGCGCTGACTTGCATGTCATTCAGTCCCAGTGAAGATTCAGATTCAGACCCAACCTCAGAGGTGCATCTCTTAACCCGAATATGCATGGGATGTAATTCTATGCTAGATATGGCCTTGTCTATAATATCGTTACAAAAACATATGTAAATCAAGAGCTGAACGTTGGGGAGGCGGGGGAAGGAGTGGAATTTAAACAAAAGGGGGGAAAACACCTCCTTAACATTAACACAATTGATTTGTTCACTTCTGAAAGGCAGTAGCAACCTAACCACAGGGACTTGGAGAATTATATCAATTGCTGGGATGGGCAGGCACAATTGCATTGCCTTCAGAGCACTGTACCTGTTCACACCAGGGCAGGAACTGGCCCAGTCCTTATCTGTTCCAACACCCCATTTTCCCCTTCACTTTTGAAATGGTTCTCCACTGAAATACAGAAACCATCATGGAGTCCTGAAGTCAAGAAGAGTTTTGACATTTACTTCAGTGGAACTAGAAGTTCTCACCAGGCCATTTGTAAATATTTTTTGGGACAACACCTAAGTGTTTTTACCATAGTGTGTATAACCTGGGTGTACCTGGTTGTGCACTCCCTTCTCCAATTGAAGAGAAATGTTAGTAGGGCAGGTATGCTGTGGGAGGAAAACTGCTGGCTGCACACAGCTTCCCTCCTTCCCCTATAGAGAGCCAAACCAGGACACTGTATAACTTAATTATATTAATTAAGTTTATAAATATTTACAAAACATTAAAAGATAAATATGCATATAAACACACACACACATATATATATTTACATATTCTATAAAACTATTACCCTATTCTCTCTCTCTCTCTATATATATATATATATATATATATACATACATGCACATCACTAGGAAAAACAGGTGAATCAAAGATCAATACTGCAGTGGAGGATCCCAGCCTTATTAAAAATCACACACTCTAACTTCTATCATATTACAAATTTACAAATATAAAGATACACAAAATATACCATTTAATATTGAACTCCATTTAAATCTAAATTCACGTAAACATTGAATACTCATACTAACATATACACTGCATTTTAAACAGATACTCAGCCCCAGAAGATTAAACTGATATTTCAATATAAATGACACAATGTTAAACTCTATCAACTCACAGCTACGTAACCATAAACATACAAAATATAAGGTGCCCGCTCACTGAATATAAGGCACAGCAACCCTTGAACTCAAGTTAACTTTACAGGGACACCAAGGCCCAGGCTGCTCTGGACCCTTGACTGGGTTCCCGTGGCTGCGAGGGAGAGGGGAGAAGCGCCCCCAGTACCCTCTAGGCTTTCCCCTAGCCCAACCAAAATATTTCTCAACAACCTAAAACTCCAAACTCAGGGAGCCCTGTCCCTCTGGGCTGCCCCTGCAATGGTCAGACTTACTGACCTGGGTGCATTCCCACTCCCCAGTGGGAGTCCTTTTCCCTGGTAACTCACAGCTCCAGGGCTGTGCTGGAGGGTCCTTCTCTCTCTCTCCCAGTGAGTTGCCGCCTCTCTTGCTATGGCTGTAGCTGTCTCTGGGTTTCTCTGGGCCCATCAGCCACTGGTAGCCTTGTGCTCTGTGGTGTGCAACAAGGGCTTCACTCTTCTGCCTGGGGTTGGGGCCCCGAGCCACCTTGCAGCTTCCATTTTAAATGCCCAGCCTTGTGCTGGGGCTGTAGACCTGAGCCACCCGACGTGGCTCCCAGGGCCTGGATTCGCTCCTGAATCCACCATGCAGCGCCACCTGCACCAAGTCTCCCTGGCCTCATGCCAGGGGTGGGAGACCTGAACCACTTCATACGACTCCAGGGTCCCAGTCCCTCATGGACCATGCCATGCAATGTCCGTGAGTCAAGGACCTGGCCTCTTGCCAGCAGATGTGAACCCGAGCTGCCCTTCCAGGTCCACTCCCAGACCACTCTGTGCAGCTCCACCTGCATCGTGCTGCCCTGGCCACACGCCAGGGCTGGAGACCTGAGCCACCTCATGCAGCTCCCAGGGTCCATTGCGTGCACCGCCTGTGCACTGACTAGCTGGAGACCCGAGCCACCTCATACAGCTCCCAGGGTCCCACCCTGTTCACCGAGCTGTGCACCGCTCCTCGCTCCTCAGTGGTGGGGCTGGGATGCAGCAACTCGTCACTTCCCATCCAGTGACGGAAAGGAGTTTTCAGGCTCTTCTAGGGGCAACCGCATTTGCTTCGCTGGGCAGTTCTCCCCAGCTCTTCACGTTCCGCCCATTCTCTTCTCCATCCCTCAATTCAGCGTCCCTGTGTGCTGGGCACACTGCTCTTTTATACCTTCCGGAGGCTCCGCTCCCAGATTGCAAAAGGACCAATCAGGGTGAGGAGGAGTATAGTCCTCACACAGGTCCAGGCTCTTTGGACAGGGGCAGGGCAGCCTCTCCCTAACCACCTCCTGATTGGTAGGAATGCTCCACTAATGGCTCAAATGCCTGCCACATGTGTTTTTAAAAAGTCCTTATGAGAGCAATATATGGATATATCAGGACTGTCCAACTTCTAAGCAACCTGGGGCTACATTTCCTATGGGTCGTATCAGCACAAGCTATGGACCATCTGCTACTCCGCACTATGTGGGCACACCAGCCCCCAGCCTCAGATCCCTATCTATGGATTCTCCCACTGCACAGTGCTACACAGGTGAGAGGCCTCAGGCTCCCCTAGCCCTGCAGGCTACACCACACTGTGCTGTGTCCCTTTGCCTCCTGAGGCAGGGGCAGGAAGTAGAAGCAAAGCAGAAGGGGAAGACTCTGGTCCAATCCATTGGCTCTACCCTCCATCCCCGGCTGAACAACCCCCAGAACAAGCTCCCTTCCTCACAAATTCTGAATAAAGCACTGGAAGCAGTGCTAGGTTGTCAGCCAAGCCCTGCTCCTGGCAAATGCAGAGAGAAATTACTGAGGGTGCTTTGCTTTGGAATACCTTCATCTGATCCCTCCTGTAATGAGGGTTCAAATTTTAATGGGATTGGGCCCTTTTAAAGCACTCTGTAGTTGTGCACTTGTGTTTGGTCATGGCTATAGATCAGGTGAGAAATGTCATTTCTGTCTGCACCTTTACAGCAGAGAAGAAAGGGTAGGCTGGTGTGTTGGGAAAAGCCCAGAGTTAAAATTATTCCCCTCCTAATGTTCAGAAAGACAAAGTGTTTGGGGTTTATTTTGCTTTCTCTTGCTTTGGAAGAGTACATCTGGCCTGAGAACAGAGCTGACTTACCTGTCCAAGGCAACAGAGTAAACGACCTGCTTTTACTAGCCTTGTCTTCTGTTCCATCTCCTTGCTCTGAAGAGTTAATACATTTATAATTCAATCCTATAGCTGTATGGATATTGCTGATAATGCTAATACACAAGCCAGCTAGAAAGCAAAAATTACCATGTTAATTTCATTTCACTTTGAATGCCATGGTAGGTGAGGTGACCAGGTAAGAGGGGCAAAAAGGGACCAAACTCCTAGGAACATTG